CATTGCCACATTCATTATTAATACACGTAATATTGCAAGTCTTGGTTCTTGAATTTCTGAAATATACAACTATTCCAATAGATCTATGCCTGTAAAATTCACTAAAATTAGGAATATCGATTATGTCAGCTTTATCTGTTATTGTTTCTACCACTAGAGTTGTCCCAGAAAACTCAAACTCAAAAAAACTCAAAACTCAAAAATTACCTGACCAGTTTTTTTTTTTTTTTTTTTTTTTTTTTCATTTTTTTTTTTTTTTTTTTTTTTTTTTTTGCGCAATGTTGGGAAATGATATTTTTAATATTTTGACCTAATATTATTAAGGCTGTAATCTGATTTGTATATGGAAGTGGCATTGAAAGAAAATTAAAAAAAAGGTGATCGATGCACCACTGTTGTTTCGCTATTTTAAAATAGCATTGTCAGCGATGTTTTGTTTATTACCAAATTATACGAAAATATTAAGCGACAAAATGTACATTGACAAATCTCTATGATTTGCGGTACTAATATTTGAAAATTCATTAGTTTGACATAAAAAAGTGGCAATTTCAAGACGATATATGCACAAACACTTTCCGTTAGATATAGCTAAAAATGGCGACATTGGGTGATTATGCAGATTATCATTCGTTAGGCTGGGAATGACTCTTGTCCCTACGGGAAAAAGAGACTGAAACGATTGAATGACATAAACTTATCTCAGACACTGGTTTATACCAGTTAAAAGAAGTTCAAGGATGACTTGACTGGTTAACCAATGAAAGAAGAAGTTGGTTGACCAACAAAAATGACAAACTGAAAAGTAAAAAGAAGTACGTTATACGTGGAGACTAATTTCTCGAGAAGTTGGAATTATGATCCGGGTTGAGAAAGTCTATTCAAAGAATTAATCACCCGTACTTTCGATGATTCTAGAATGTGTGATATAAGTACAAACAGTTACAAACTAAAAAAGAAAATGCACTGTCCAATTTCTGCCTCACAAGAAATTTTAAAATTCAAAAAAAAAAAAAAAAAAAAAAAGGAGAACATTTTTTTAAAAAAATGTTAATGTTTTTCTTGGACTACCCTCGTTTGTCATATTCATTTATAAAATCAAGAAAATCAGGTTTCGGGGCCACAAAGGTATACAAATCTCTGCTCAAATCGCAGCCTCAAATCTTAGATATTTCTGCCTCAGCTGGGATTTTCCTAAAACACCGTGCCACCAACATTTCTGAGATTCGTCTCATGTAAGCTGAGATTTGAGAAAAATCTTGGACTTATTTTCATCGTTATATGCGACCCTTTTTAATAATGCACGAATTAGTTGAGTGAATGATTGAATTTACCTTCTAGATAGTTGTTTATGCAATATTTTGGTGTATAATCACGAAAATACACATTCTTCACTTTTTTTGCCGTTTGGCGTCATTCAACGGTAAGAATTCCATTATGATCTTTGAGAAAATAATTGTACAGCGATCCTCCCCCCCCCCCCCAAAAAAAAAAAAATCTTCAGTAAATTACCACAAAACATATCCAAACTTTGTAGTCTTTGCTCGTCTGTCGACATAAACACACGGAAATATAAACCGAGGCGTCACTTCCGCCTTTGTGGCGTTACATATAGAAAGATAACAAAAATAGGTAGGCGGATCAAGAATATATTATGCGTTTTACCGATTAAAACTTATCAATTTGATTCTGTCTTTCTTTTCTTCTGTAAAATGGCATATATATCTATTACATTTCATTTTCCGTAGCAAATATTATATTAGTTATAGGAACTTTTCGTATTTAGAATAAATAAAAGATTTTTTAAGCGGTCAACAGAAATAAATTTTACCTCCGAAATATGACTTGAATGCTGCAAACTCAGCGTAAAGCAATAAACATTGAATGATTTTTTTTTCTAGCAGATCAAAAGCAAAATGCTCGATATATAGCTAAACTGTGCACATCATAAACTTCTTGAGTGTTCCGTTAATTGTGCATAAGATGCGAAAGAGAACGTGTCCAGGGGCGGGTAAAATATGCATGTTTGATTTTACATGATCCCCATTTATCAAGGAAATTTAGATACAAATTGCTTAATTGCCGGGAGTTTCAGCCCCCACCCCCCCACCCCCTTCCCCAATGAATGAAAAACCCTGTATATGGAACATGTTAAATAACACATCGCATATCACTTTTGAGAAAAATGTCACAGAAATTTCTTATTCTTCTTTTTAGATAGTAACACATTGCCGTTGTATAACGACAAATAGTAACAAATATTCGTCGTTACACTGGGAACCCAAGTCAATCTCGCATACGCTTATTAATTGATGAATAATCACTTATTTCATATTATAAATAAAAGTTTTACTACGTAATCATGTATTTAAAATTATGTACCATACTTGTTTTTGATTTCAAAACGTAACTGGTCGTATTTATAGATGTTTAAATAAATGGTTATTGTAGATTATCTTTCATTACTGTATTATTTAAGAAAGTCAATACCTCCTATTTACAAAAAAAAAAAAAAAAAAAAAAAAAAAAAAAAAAAAAACATGAAAGTAGAATAAGAATATCTCTTCACATTATCTTGCAATTGAAACTGGGCGAAATATTGTAAAGGAACGAATATTTTGTGAATTTTGTAAAACTAACATAGAAAATGAGAAGTTTTAAAAAAAATCGTTTGAATAGATGCAGTTCATGTTGTGATTTATATATGTACCTCGGAATGGTCATGTCAAGTTTATTCCCATGAATAATATAAACGGTCAGGGATTTTAGTGATGCATGGTGAGTATAAAGTCGATCTCAATTAAGAATTTTATAGATTTAGTTTTGAGCCAAATTGGATAAACTGCTATCAACAGTGATTTATAATGGTGGTTAAAAATACTATTTTGAAAGCATAGAAATATTTGAAAATGGAATTTTTGACAACAATCTATTAATATTTGCGTATAAGTTACAAGAAATGTTTTTAAAAAAAGTAAAAGTAAAAAATAACTACCGGAGAAAGGACGAAAAAAGGAGATTTGAATTTTTTTATGTAGTCATTTTTCTTTTTTCTTTTTTTTCCTGACTGATATACATGTACATTGTGAAATAGTACATTGGCTTCCCCACAATCAGAGCACAAAAATATTAATTTAAATCGAGTTCTAATTAATTCATGTATCAATGAAGATAAACATGATGTGTATAACATGCCGCTAGAATATCCCGGTTATTCCTTTTTTTTTTTTTTTCTTTTTTTTTTTTCTTTTAGATTTTCAAGTGCAATATTTCACTGGCTGGACAGATTTATAAGATTTTTACATGTGCTTAAGTCCTCTCCCCCCCCCTCCCCTTTCGTAGATATACTGCATATCAGTTTTGGGAGAAATATAGCATTCTTTCTGTAGTTGCAAGTTCATTTCGTGTTAGATTAAAGTGTGTACTTTCATAACATTTGTGAAAATTTTACTATAAAATAAACCTGTGATATTTTATTTGAGGCTAATGTATACCAACCTCAAGATTTTCTGAGCTGAGTCTGTAAAAACGTTGGTGGCACGCACGTTTGAGAAAAATCTCAGATATGAAAAAAAAAACTCAAAAGACAAGTTTGAGTTTGAGAAAATATTTATTTGTGGCACAGTTTGCTAAGAAAAACTCAGATTTTCTGAGAAATCTCAGCTTTGGTGGCCCGGAAGTCAGAAGATCGGAGCTTTGAGTATAACCCACATTCATTAATGCATTCTTACTCTAGATGGGTCTTCTGAGAGAGTTACTTTAAAAGTCTTGATTTCATTCCTAGTTATTTGTTGTTGCACCCCGTGGTTTTCCTAGTATTGCACGTTAGCAAGAAGGCTTCTGAGCAAAAAGCGATGGGCGCTATGTGTTGTTGGCGTTGCACGTCATCTGAACCTGGACCAGCAACAAATCTACCAGTTTGAGGAAAGACGTGTTTATCTTTTACAAAAATTTTGTCCGGAATCATAACTGAATTCTTCCCAAGAGAACACGTATCTTTCCCAAAAAGAATTGTCGCTAGATTTCGATGACAGCTTATCATACAATAAGAAAAGAATGTTATTTAAGAGGAAAGTATATTAGAAGAGATATAACCCAAACGAAGTTTCGTTTTTTATATAAACATTTTTCACCAAGTATACAATATTTGACACCTCCTAACTCTTATTCAGAATTACAGAGATATTGAGAAATTGTAATCTTTTCAATATTGTCTGTGGTCGTAATTGACAAGAATAATTGATATTAGATATAGACAGCAAATAACTAGTTTTTGTCATGTTCGAACAAAACAAGGGGTCATTGTTACAGTGTTCATAAAGACATATTTTTTAAATATTTCTTTTAAAAGAAGAAACATCACATGAGAGTTGCGTGTTACCATCGTATTATACGTATTTTCGTTTGCGATTATTTTTTAAAAGAAAAACTTTGAACGGTTTGCAGAAAATAGTCGCAAGACGGTAGAAAGAGAGATAACTCAAATTTGAACACTAAGATTTTCAGGGTTTGTACAGAAATGCTATCTCAAATGTTCTGTAAATTTAAGATTAATCCTACAGAGGTTGCATTGAAATTTCAAATTTGGCATATTGTCCTTCCAATTAAACTCAACATAAGTGTGTGAGTGTCAAAAAGATATCATTTTATAAAATTATTAAAATTTTATTAATATCATATCGAGTTAAAAAAGCAGTTTTAAATATTTTGACAGCAAACTTGCGACAATGTTAATTGGTATAAAATTTTCTAGAATGAAACAATAACAGGGGAAAAATGAATGTGATAGGTATAAAATGTTACTAAAAATTAAGTTATTTTCAGAATTGTTAAAGCTTATATTTATCATTATTTACAATACATAATAACAACAAAAACTGTTTCCTGAATTGTTAGAAGTGATACTTGTAAGTTGATAATAAAAGGACTCAACTAATATAAAACTTCTTCTAATGTATTCAAGTTAATACTTGAACATGTGTATGTATGTTTGTAATAAAATAGTAATATCACAACATGAACTATTTTATTAATCATAACATTGAATTTAATATTTGTATCTTATCATTATCACAGTCTGTTTTAATGCTTCATTTCTTTTCCAGTGTTCCCATACCGGGTAACTCCAACTAGACAGAGCAGACTTTGCGTACGCTCCGTTAAGGTTTGATTTGTGACACTCGTTGTACCACCAGGCTCCGTGCCATGTTGAAGCACAGTTACTACTACTCCAGTTGTCATTGTCCTGATCTTTAGTACTAAATTTCATTCCATTGTGCCAAGCCAAACTGTCACCTGAAACAGAGTAAGTTTACTGCTGATTAATTAAAAAAATAGTGTAACAGATTAACATCCACCTAGTTTAATTATGTACAATTTAAGGATGTTTTATGTAATATGACTTTCCCTTAACCTTAATTATTTTACTCATAAATACTATCATAATCTTTAATTCAATTTACTATAATAATAAATCAAACTGTCACATAAGGTATTGATAAATTCTACAATTAAATTTATTGCATATAAGAATAAGATCTGGAATAAACATCGATTGTGATATCATGTATCATTTCTTTGTTATTTTTTATTGTGTTCCATTATGTTTATTACATAAAAATGCAATTATATTTAAAGAAAAAGACATGTTTAAAGTCATTGAACATTCTCAGTACTTCAAAGTGCTCATAAAGGCTAAGGAAATAAAATATGAGTATTCATTATTTTTTCACATTTTTAGCTTTGAATGCGCCGATGTAACATACCTTTTTAAAAAATTTATAACATCTAACAAATCTTTTTGAAAACAACCTGTTTTCAGTCAAAAAATACACTTTCATACCAAAAGTATGTCATTTCATATTAATAACAGAGAAAATTCTAGCATGAAATAAGGTTTATTTTCAAATAAAGCAATTTATGTTAAAAGTCTTGTAACTTTACTTTTGTTGATTTCAGAATGTGTTTTATCTTTCTAGTATTTTTCTAAAATATTTATTTGTAAAGCTCGAATATAAAGCCCCCCTTTTTTCTAATTATGATCCGTTTTTATCCGGTTCCTAAATTTTATCAAAGCCCTTATCTGTCTCAGCCAATCAGATTGCTGCGCAATGCATCTATTTACATAATTCTTTGTTTACTCGGAGTGCTGCCACAGAAAGTTTGTCTGACGAAAAAGCAACCTCCACCTCCACTCCATCCCCCACATCTTTAAGTCAACAATTATGCATATTTCTCTGATGTTTTCATGCGTTTTTTATGCACCACTTTTGTTTCCAATAAAGTTTGATGTTGTATTATATCGCATTATCGCATCTGTGTGTTGTAACAATATTGTGGCTGGGAGACCACTGTTGTGTAATATTTTGGTGACTTGCATTTCTAGCCAAGAAACAGTTTATATGTCAACAAGCTTTCATTGATGCTGGTATGTCTCCCAGCCAAATTCTTTTGTAATTGTTTTTATGGATTACATTTTTCGTCATTTAAATAAATGACAAGTTTTTTACACTTAACATGTTTTCTGTTATAAATATTGGAAACAAACTGAGTTGCTATGTTGCCTTGGACTACCAGTAAGGTTTTAACATAAATACTATTGTCGAAAAAAATGCTTAATAATATAAAATTTTTGCATGTTTTGGGGTTAATACGATGATTTAGCCACCTGAGGAGTACAATATTCACCTAGTCTGAAGGGCAAGCTGAATATTGTACTTCAAAGGTGGCTAATTCATCGTGTTGACCGAATAAACAGCAATAATTGTTTTATTATATGATAGCAAATTCCAACAAGATTGTTTTTTGTTTTAATTGTAAGTTTTAACAAGACATTTCAACAAGAACACATTGTAACAGAAAAAATGGTACACTTAAAATGTTAAATTTCAGTTTCTTGTTTCAGGTCTATCACTGAACCCTTTTTAACACTTTCCCTTGAAGAGTACAGTGTAATTAATTATTATATTACATGAATTGTGAAAGACATGATTTTTTTTTTGTTACATTTTTAGATACTCCCTCTAGAAAACAGCCAATAAAATTTTGTGGTTCATATTTGGATATTTTACTAGAAAAGACATCATTGGTAACCAACCTAGATGATGAACTTGATGACCTAAACGTAAAAATCGTCAGCTTCCCTTACTTATATAGCAATATACCCTTATCACCTGTATATGGGGTTTTATGTCATTCGGTTGATTCGATACGAGAGACTATGCTCTACGTACGAACAATTCTTAAACGAGACAAGCTATTGACAAACAAGTTGATGACACAAGAATATCAACAGTCTCCTTTAAAGTTATCATTTTACAAGTTGTATGGTCGATACAATGACCTTGTCAGCAAATACAGTCTATCATTAAGTCAAATGCTGACTGAGGTTTTTCATAATAATTGTTAGGCCAATATTTACATACTGTATCGTCGACGGATTTTTCCGTTTTTTTCGATCAAGACAAGGAGCACACGGCTGGTGCGACCGGTCGGCAGGGGATGTTTACTCATCCATGCCACCTGATTCCACCTTTAATAGTTTTAGAGGTCCTTGTTTGCTTTGCTCTCGATTTGTATTGTTTGAATAGTCTTTTGAGCTTGAATACTGTTCGTTATCTCCATTTTTCATTACATATAGTGTACAATATTGTATTACTCATCATATATTATAAATTGAGCAAAGGGAACAGCAAGTAACAGCTATCCCTACAATTTATCGTGACATTTAGAAAAAAAAAAACAATTCGGCAACATTTTATCAGTATTATTCAACGTTAAATTTATAAAAGCTTTGCATCAACCACAGAATTGTGCATCTATACGTTGTCGTAAAAAATGTGCCGAAGTTAAATATTCCAGTAGACATTACATAATCGTATACAGTGTTTTTCCTAAAATAGCTTCATATGGTTTATAGCTTGGATGTTTTGCTTACTATGAACGATAAGGGCCAACTAACAACTAAACTGCATGACAAAAAAAAAAATGAGATGACCTCAACTTTTCCATCGTCAACATTCCTTATTTGTGTAGTAATTGTCCGCTTTCACCTGCATGTTGTGTTTACGTCTACTAATTTATTATTTACTCAAGACCATGCTCTCAGTACGATCATTTTAAAACAGGCAGGTAACTCACAGATGATTAAAGTAACAGGGTCTTCAACATCTTCATTTTAAGTCAGCATTTCGTAAATTCTATGCTCGTTGTAATGAATATAATGACTTTGTTAGAAAACGTTATCTATTATTGGATTGTTGTTTAGCTGACATGTTTGATACGATTGTCAGGCCTTTGTTTTTTAATACTAAATTTGACTAAAGAATGTTCCATCTACCTGATCAATACAAAGAGCTCGTGGAGGACGTAACCAGACAACAGGAGATGTATAATCCTCCTAGGCACCTGATCCCACCTCTGGAATTTCGGACAGTCCGTGTTTTATGCACTTTTTACAGATTTGTATTTTTTTATAGCTTTTTTTAGATAATCACTGTTTGTTATCTTCACCCTTTTCATTGTACTTATAATAGTATACTTGGAAATATATTCGAATTTCATCAAACTCGACCAGTTCTTCTCTACTCCGACATATTCCGTGTTTACTGAATCATAAATAATGCACAAATTAACCTTTAGGTATTTGTTTCGAATATATTTTTATTCATACACTGTTACATGAATCTTTTTTTCCAGTAAAGCTGATCAGCTTTGATCTGAATGATTTGCTAGAGTATGGTGTCTTTTTTACATAATTTTATCAAGTCGAACATACCTCACACTGAGATGTTTAATGTTTACTATTCTTTAAAGAAGATTTGAAAGCAACTTTTCTGGTCTTCACCGCTGGACACTTAATAAAATAAAGTGGATTGTAGCACTGCCCTAATTCGGTTCCATCGATCAGATACAGCGGTGCTGTATTGTATGACTTACTGTATCTGAGGACTCCCTAATAAGTCCTTGCACATGCGCTTAGCCTTAAAAAAGGATATATATCAGTGACCGTATAATGTAGGGCCGTGCATCTAGAATTCCATCAGCATAGAAAGCAAGTTTATTGATTTGCCTATATATCTGATTGGTCAACCGCGCTGTTCCTGCACTGCTAGGACAAAGATTTCGCAGAACGAGAGTTCAACCCCTGGTCGGGCGGGAGTTGGTATTGTTAAAAAGTGAATTTCTCTGTGCCTTCTTTACTTTTATTTTTTCCTGTTCAGCTATGTTAATTAAATATTCTAATGCAATTGTTTTGTAAAACACATTTTGATTGGTTAATACACTGAAGTTGAGGCAGTAACACGAGCATTAACGAGAATGAAAGCTTTTCATTGTGACGTCATAATAGAGCGACGCAAAAACACAATGCTCCATGACGTATTTTTTTTTTTATAACAAAACCGACAACAAAATAAGACGGGAACATCAAACAATCTCTATATATTTCACAAAATGCATTTATTGCATTAGAATGGGAATAACTATCTTTTATTTTGGTATTTGCGACCGTTAATGCTGATTTAACGGTCACAAACATCCGTTTTACGCGTCGCCGGTAAAACTCAGTTTGCGACCGTTAAGGACAGACGATACGTTCCTCAATAATATATAATTTTTTCTAAGATTTTGTCTTTGAAGTATTGCTACTTTAACATATTTACACGCAAAAAATTGAGGTACCTTACCAGGCATTTGTGTAAGATACCAGACGATGATGTTTCCTATAAAATCCTTTTGGAAAAAAACTTAATTAGCCAATAACACATATTTTTACTTTTTCAATTTTTCAAAAACAATTAGAAACCAGTTTAGAAATCAGAAGATAATTAAAATTCAGAATATTTTCCACACATTACGAAGATATACAAAACAGATATTTGAGGAACGTATCGTCTGACCTTAAATCAGCATTAACGATCGAAAATGTCAAATTAGAAGATGCCAAATTAGAAGGTAGTTATTCCCTAAGTAATTGTAAATAAAAATGTGCTTTTAAGTAATGTTAATTTCATCAGAATATGTATCAGAAACGATCTTTTAAATATCATAAAACTAATCCTGTATCTCTCTTCCATTCTCAGTGACATTGTAGTATAGAGCGGCGATGCGAGATTTCCATCGACATCTAAAGAAAGATTCCTTGACTTGACTAGATAATCGTATGGTCTAGTGCGCTGTTCCTGCACTGCAAGGAGACAGTTGAGAGTTTAAGGCATATGTAAAATGTATGACAGCGGGGCAACAGTATTTCCATAGAAGGGTGTGACTCGGGGAAGGTGGTAAGAAGTAAAAGGAAAAATACAAACCTGCAGTTCCATTGTACCCGGAAACCGTCAGTCGGTATTTATCAGCCTCGTTTCCGATATAAAATGTTGAATATTCAGCAAACGCTTTTTTCCCATTAAATCTCTGGAGATCTACTCTTAGTTCCTGGTCCTGATCTTTGGTTAAAGCATGGATGGCATCATTACCTTTGTGATAAATAAAAAAAAAAAAGATGATAAAAATCAAGATATTTGACTGATTATGTTTATTCATTTTACAATTGAATTATAATTAAATTTAAATTGACATCCTCAAAATCACTAATATTTAATTTTAAAAAAAAATGCTCCGTATTAAATAAAAGATACTGTTTGGGACTTAGGAAATGTTAATTCAAAAATTAAAATATATGAGCTTAAACTTCATAATTTTGCTAATATAAGCATGATTTAAGCTGTATCTTCAAGAAAAAAAAATGAATAAATAACAAAAAACGAATCATTTGTTCTAAATAATGCCCTATAATGTGAAAAAAAACGTAAAGATTTATAAGGGTCATGGCAAAAAGGAACTTGGAATTTAAAGAAAATCTACCTTTTCTTCATCTTTTTAATTGTTTTTTTTTTTTTTCCCATTTATAACCAAACTCTTTCAAAATATGTTCTCTAATCCATGCATCATTTTTTTTCGTTTTACATGTTTTTCAATAAAAATGGAACTCGTAAATATACTTACCTTGTAATTGGTCATTTGCAAAATTATTTTGTTAAAAAACATTCTGATTATACACACAAGTACTCTGAAGTTGACATTAAAAAGATGCTTGAGTTTCTGATTGACAAAATCTATGTGGTTTTTGGAGACCAGGTCTTCCAACAATCTATTGGAATTCCCATGGGTACCAATTGCCCCCCGTTATTAGCAACCTTTTTTTGTATTCATATGAAGCAGAATTTGTCCAAAATCTTGTACGTGAAAAGAATAAAACACTTGCCGTGGCCTTCAACTCGACATTTAGATATATCGACGATGTATTGTCAATTAACATTCTTCTGTCGATACGATATATCCTGGTGTGCTTGAGATAAAAGATACCACTGAGTCTGACACATCTGTTTCATATTTGGATATTTTACTTGAAAAAGACGTTAAGGGTAATCTAACAACCAAGCTTTATGATAAACGTGATGACTTTAACTTTCCAATCGTCAACTTCCCTTACTTATGCAGCAATATACTTTCATCACCTGCATACGGAGTATATATCTCTCAGTTGATTCGATATGCAAGAGCATGCTCTACGTATGTACAATTTCTAAAACGAGGTAAATTATTGACAAATAAGTTGATGAAACAAGAATATCAGCTCTCTCGTTTAAAGTCATCATTTCGTAAGTTCTATGGTCGATACAATGACCTTGTCAGCAAATACAATTTATGACTGAGTCAATTGCTGACTGACGTTTTTCATACTAATTGTTAGGCCATTATTTACACCCTGCATTGTCGACGGATTTGTCCGTTATTTCCTCATCATGACAAGGAGCACACGGCGGGTGTGACCGGTCGGCAGGGGAAGCTCACTCCTCCATGGCACCTGATCCCACCTCTGATGTTTAGAGGTTCGTGTTTGCTCTGCTCCTATTTTGTATTGGTTAATGGATTTTTGAGCTTGAATACTGTTTGTTATCTCCATATATTTCATTCTTAAGACGACAAAGATGGTTTCATAATGCGGCACATTTTGAAAATAATTTTTTCTTCCTTAAAATATGAGTAAAATATTATGTTATTTGTTAAATACCTCTTTAGGTTTAATTTATTTAGATTTTGCTGATTTTTTTTTTTCATCTATCAACATATCAAAGAAATCCAGTGAATGCAGGAAATCTTTTAAGGTTTGTATTGATATGCATAATTGATAATAGACAGCTCATTTTGTTGTTATTCAATATACAGATTTATAGCACCTTTCTATAAAAATGAAAGATGAATCTTGCTTGAAAGGCAATTATAGTATATATTAAGTTATACTATCACACAATGGGAAAGTCTGATCAGTGTAACCGTAATTATTCTAGAGATATTAGATTTTTTTTCATTTTAATCACCGAGCATGTATCTCTGCTGGTGGACAGTGTCCCCGAGGACACTTGTCACTCGGTATATATTCTACTATGAATATTGAAAAAAATTAATGTTTCCACACAGGCTACCACGGCGTCAAGTATAAAAAGGCATCAATCTGTAGAGTCTATAAGGGACACAGGCTCTAATGGTTGACGCTCCCCGGATTCTCCTCGGGGATATTAACAATTTATCCTTTATACAGTCAGTAGATAATCAATTTGGTATAAAACAATTCTAACCAGTCTGGTATAGAACAAATCTAACCTTTAGATTAACCTGCAGCTCTCTGCAGATTAACCTGCAGAGAACCTGCAGCTCTCCACCGGCAAGTGGTGGCGTCTCCATATGAGTGAAAAATTCTCGAGAGGGACGTTAAACAACAAACAAACAAAAAACAAAAACTTAAAAACCGAGGCCCCGTGTCACGGTAGGCGTTGGCACGATAAAGAACCCTCACTGCTCAATTGTCCTGGGTGCCGAGTAAAGGTCTATATTTGAAGCCTTACAATCAACCAAACATATATCAATCTTATGGAAAGAGTTTCTATACTAAATTTACTGAAAAATTGACTTGTAAAACTTCCAACATTGTCTATGCAGTTGAATGTACTGTATGCGGACTCATTAATATTGGTGAAACAAAGGGTTCACTTAAAGAATGTCGGGGCATTGGCTCGAAATAAACAATGTGGGGCAATTAACATCTTTATAAACATTTCAATTCACCTGACTACTCTATTCTTTCTATGAGGGTTAGAATTTTGGAAAGAATATATCATCCAACTAATAGTCCAATATTAAGTACTCCAGGCCATAGACAACGAGAAGAATACTGAATCAGAAAACTAGGCACGGCCTTTCTGTATAGTTGCAATGACCACATAAATAAATAATGTAGGGAATCTTTCAAGGGCACAATGTGCCAACGTAAATGTAATAGAACTTTTTCACAATATACCTAGATAAGCGTAGTCATGGGCATAGATCATACAATAAACCAATTATACATGATGTCTCTTTTGATTCACTTTCACCTTACGTCAATAAACAATAAGGTCCTCATCACATTCGCACTAAACTGTCTTCAGTTTCCTTGACATATTTGAATTGGCTCTTTGAAGAAGCTTAAGCAAGTCCATACTTATTCTTCAACTGCAGAACACAAGCTAATGTCTGTGATTATGGATGTTCCCCAACACATAAATTCCTAAACTTCCTTAAAATCTTTACACAAAAAAGATATATTGCAGGGTCCAGCAAATTTTCTACCAAGCCCCTTTTTCTTTTCCTAACCAAAATACTGCAGTTAAGGGGAAACTTCAGACGTACTTTGCTAAAACATACTCTAGAAGTGGTGAAAATCAGATGTGGATCCTCAAAAACTCAAAAGAACTTTTAGAAAATCTGAAATCACAATTTTTTTCAAAAGTCTACAACATCAAAACGTACGACTTTTCTACACTTTATACCACCATTCCTCACGACGAATTAAAAACTAGGCTTTTTGATATCATAGACAACTTCTTCAACATCATTGGGACTCGTGAATTTTCACATCTTGTGTTTGTACATCAACAAAATTCCTCCGTTAAAAGCCACTCTAATTCTACACACAAGTACTCTTAAGTTGATATTAAAGAGATGCTGGAATTGCTCACTGACAATATTTATGTCGTCATCGGTGACCTAATCTCCCAACATACTTGGAATACGGATGAGAACTAATTGTGCTCCTTTATTCAAAAGCTTCAACATGAGAAGAAAACACTTGTCGTGGTCTTCAACTCGACAGATGAATCAACGACGTTTTATCAAATAACAATAGTTATTTCCATTTATATGTCGACTCGATTTATCCAAGTGAACTTGAAGTAAAAGAAACCACAGAGTCTGCCACATCTTCTTCATAGTTGGATGTTTTACTGATTTTAGAAGACAAAGACCAAGTAAACTCTAAATTATATGAAAAAGGAGATGACTCCAGCTTATTCATCGTCGACTTTCCTTATTTATGTAGTAGTATTCTGCTATCACCTGCATATGGTGTTTATGTCTCCAAACGTATTTGCTTCTAAAGAACATAGTCTAAGAACGGTTAGTTTTTAAACTGAGGCAGACTACTCATACATAAATTGATGTTACAGGGATTTCAACAACCTCGTTTAAAGTCAGCATGCCGTAAATTCTATGTTCGTTATAATGACCTTAAAAGCAAATATAACCTATCAATGGGTCGTATTCTAGCTTGATTTGTTTCCTAGAAATCGTGAGACATTTGTTTTTATACTAAATTTGACTAGGGAATGTTCCGTCTACTCGATCAATACATAGCGCTCATGGCCGATGTGACCGGTAAACAGGTGATGCCCACTCCTAAAAGGCACCAGGGGTCCGTGTTTATGGCCTATTCACAGATTTGTATTGTTTGAAGTTTTTATGAGATCGATCACTGTTCGTTATCTTCACCCTTTTTCATATTTGTGATATTAATCAAAAGCAGCGTGTCAAAGATATATGACGTAATATTTATATTTTCATTAAACTATATAGGTTTTTGGGAGGGAAAAAACGTAGACATTGTATTGTAACTAAATTTTATGCTTTGTTTTAAGGAGGTTGGATCCTGACATTAAAAGTAATGAGAATTTTTTATCAAGTATATTTTTAGAATTTATACACATAGCTTAATTAAAAATCAAAACAAAAAACTGGGGTCAATGCGCTTCTTTTGGCGCTACAGAGCATATAGTTTGACCTTTTTGCACTGTAAAAACGTCTTACACATAAATCAACTTTTTAAGTTTTTCCTCTGATATTTTTTATTCAAATAAGTTATGGGAACAAACACAGTTTTATTTCATCTTGAATAGACACATCAAAATTTTTGACAACGAAAATTTTTTTAAATTACTCCGCACATTCAATTATTTGACCTTTTTGCACTCAAAAAATTTCATTTTGCTAGCATTACAAATTTAACAAGCAAAAAACTCATTTAAAAGTAATGACATTTTACTGAATTTAAGAAGAATGGTTAAAAGTATCTTGTATATTCAGAAAAGAAAGTTAAAAGTGGGGGTCTGTGATGTTAATTTTTAGATATTACTAAAATAGTGCTAATTTTGAGCTTAAATTAGGGCTATTTTTTTTCTCTTGATTTTCACAATATATTTGATTTACTTATCAAATATGATGATTGAATTCATGACAGTTTATTAAATATATAATTTAGGACCAGTATAAAACAGTTCACTGCACAAAATAACTCTGTGTGCAGACTGGATGTAAAAATAGGAATCCAAACTTAACATACTTTGAATACTTCGAAAGAGAAAAAATGATCATTTTCTTCTAAAAAACCTTCCGCCACAAAATATAGTTCCTCACTTACTGCTTTTGGTATGGAATTTAATCATGGAGTTTTAACTGAATATAGTTTATTTGGCATTGTAGAATCCAAATTTATTGTAAGAATTAAAGCATTACTCAGATTTTTTTAAATATAGGTTAAAATAAAAATCTGCTCAAAAGCTCAGGAGCGAACCTCGTTAAGCTAGATACAAATTTCGTGCGCTATTACATTGCTTATATGAATGATTGATTGTATGCTGTTTTACGTCCCATTCGAGAATTTTTCACTCATATAGAGATGTCACCATATACCGGTGAAGGACTTCAAATTTTGACCTTTACTCGGCACTCAGGGCCATTGAGCAGTGAGGGATCTTTATCGTGCCAACGTCTGCCGTGACACTGGGCCTCGGTTTTTAAGGTCTCATCCGAAAGACCACTATTGTATTGGGCTAATTACTAAGATTACTGATTAAATTACTGGTAAAATCTAATTTTACTAAATCAAACATATTACAGTAATGCTAATGTAAAGATACCTCATTCAAGTTTCTGAGAAAATCAACAGATAATTACGGAACAGGCCTAAGAGAAAAATCGGTATGTCTGATATAAACAATTTAAAATATCCTAATGAAATATGTATTTGGAAAAAAATTACTTTAGTCTGCATATTCCAGGTTATTAAAAGTAAAAAGTAAAAAATAATTTGTTTTATCAAAAATAAACATGTAACTCTGATCCTCGGAATTTGCATTTGAATTTATTTGCAAAAACAGGGCCTACAATTCATAAAAATTCTGAAATTCATCCAGATGAAACTGTACGATCTTATTGGTATTTTTTTTTTTTTTAAAGAAGATTTAAAGAATTTATGTTCTTAAATTCAAGTATCACTAATAGTAATTTTCAGATTAAATCCACAATTTAGTTTAATATGGCACTAATGAGTACAAAAATAAACAATCAATACCTCAAAAGCTTGCTTTGTGTAGAAATGATATATATCAACATGCATACTAACCACTTTACAATTATTGCTTAAAGGACAAAGTTTCCTTACAAAGTTTTTATTCTTACCAATCCAGTAGTTTTTCTTTGGATGGCCAAAACCATGTTTATATTCTTCCCACGTCCGATAGAAATCAGTTGAGCCGTCTATTCTCTTTTGTAAAACCTAATAATGATTAAATTTAATGAAAATGGTAGAAATCAATTAATCTTTGATAGGATGTAAGAAATATTTGCTGGTTTTAATTATTGCAACAAATATTCCCTAAGAATGATTAAAACCGTAGAAACCAGTTGTTCTGTAAAATGAATATTAAGAATTACTTTCGCATCCATAACTAATTGCTGACTATGAATGCGACAAACTTGAATACATTAAACATTCATGAATAAAACACTAAATACAAGTAATGTTTTTGTTTGTCTGTTTATTTTCACTCATATGGAGACGCCACCACTTGGTTTAAACCTATCCTCGACACACAGGGCCATTGAACAGTGAGAAATCTTTTTCGTGCCAAGACCTATATCCACTGCGACACAGGACCTCAGTTTATTCGGTCTCATCCAAAGCACCGGTCTCCACGTCCCACCGTGGATTCGAACCAGCAACGTAAGGATCAGCTACTTACTCCGCGACTTCAAAAGACGCTCTAACCATTGCGCCATGCGGGCGACACAAGTAATGTTAAGAAAGTATTAAAGTGTGCGAAGGGCCGCTATGCAGATGCATAAATAAAGTAGTATAAGCACTAGTGTTAGACGGTTATATGTGAAGATTACGAAAATATCTTGTCAACATAAAGAATTAGAAGGAGGGCAAAAACATGGAGCCCTGAAAATAACAGAAGCGGGTTCAGGAGTATGCAGTCCCTGATGTGGATGAGTGTGGGAAAAATGCCATCTGTAGAAGAAACCCGCACTGAATATATGTAAGTAATCTCGTCAAATCTCAATAAATTTACAATTCATACAGGGTGTTTCAGAAAACATGCAACCATTTGCATTCCCCACTTTATTGATATGCAAACAGAAATATATAAAAATTTTATTTGATATTATAGTAAATAGGCTCAAGATTTTATTGTTAACAAAAATTTCGGAAATAATTATCATTTAAATGAATTATGACATCATATTTGACATCATTGAAAAACAGGTCATTTCATTTTGAATGTGGAATTTACTAATTATAAAGAGCAATCATCAGAAGTCATCAAAGCATGTTGCTAATTCCTGTGATTACTTTAGGGCAATATACAAGTAGATAGGTATTAAGAATGCAAAGAACTTAATAAAAAGTTGAAGTTGCATGTACAAAATTGTTAAAAATTTTGAATATAATGGAACGTAAATGATAAAAGAAAAGGAAAAATTGAAAGAACGAAAACAATAAAAGACATGAAAACATTGAGAATGTTAGAGACGTTGATTCAGGGATTCGCATGAAATCCTTAAGTAAAAAACTGACCTTGTAAACGAATGCGACTCAAAAATGAGAAGTCAAGTGTTTATCGGATGATGAAATATGATTTGAATCTTACACATTAGACTGGTTGAAACAAATATTTGGAGAACTATTCTTCTCTTCCAAATCCCAAAATTATTTGGCCTCCACATTCACCTAACTTAACCCGCCAAGACTTTTATCTTTTGGGGCATTTAAAGGTCACAGTTTATAAAATGCACCCTATCACAACACATGAACTCAAAATAGTAAAAGAAAAAAAATGAGTTAAGATTCATAACAAAGAAATTTTGTGTACTAGTTATGATTATGAAAAATTTCTTGCATCAATTACATTTACTCATTTGGCGTAAATGATGTCATTTAGAACATATTTTGTAACTAGGTGAAATTTTAAAGCTTCCCTTTATTCTTTCGTAACTCATTATCTATTTGCCGGAATAATTTCATTCTTACAAGAATAAATTTTGAAATTGTGCCTTTTGATTTCATATGTTGGTGAATGGTATTGGATGAAACATGAATAAAGTATAGTCAATCCAAATGGTTTCATGTTTTCTGAAACACCCTGCATATCAAACAGGTTAGTTGAGTGTTGTAAAATTAGACCAACTGGAGAAAATCACAAAAATGTAAAGATGAAAATATGACCCGTCAACACACTTAATGTGGGATCTGTTGCATAAGATAAGCAGGGATACTCTATCTGCATGTAAATGCTGTTGCCGCTGTAATAACCTGGTAAGCAGAATAATTTGTAGTCAAAATATCGTAAGAACAATGGCTTCATAAATGGTCTACAATTTGTAAGAAGCATGCAAAGAAATAGAATTTCCTTTATGCTGAATGTTAACGAGCCTGTTGAAAAATCTCTAAAATTAATGTACTTGTATATTGCCTAGTTCTTTCTAAGAATTGGTCGTATTCATTACCTGTTCATGTGAACAGAATCATAGACTCTTAATGAAAGTGATACGGGATACATTTACAGGGACATACCTCGTTTGTTCACACATTTTGATAAAATGGTCGTAATAATCATCTACAGTCTGGAGTGCAGTATATTATAATGTCTTTTTTTACATTTAGATACGTCGGAGGTCCTGCTATTTTTTTTTTTTTTTTTTTTTTTTTTTTTTTTTTTGTGAGTGTGAGCTCGAGGTTCTAGTTTCTATAGTGATAGGGAATTCCATTCATTAATTTTATTTGGAACAAATGATGATTTATAAGTTTGCCGTCTACATACGGGTATTTTATAGTTTTGAGAGTATCTTGCTGTAAAAGTGGAAGCTTTGCATCGTATGTAAGGTATAATATCACAAAGATCATCAGAAACTAAATTATTATAAATCTTAAACATGTATTTAATCTGTGTAGCTTGTGTCTATCACTAAGCAACATCCAGCCAGATTCGAAGTTCAAAGAATCTCTAGGTGCTAATAAAGTCAGACCAGCAACAATACTGAATGCTTGTTGTTGTAATTTCTCTAATTTTTCAGAATCTGTGACTGAACCGCCATTGAAGCAAATTCAAGTTTGGGGGGGGGGGGGGTAAAATGACGTATACACAAGTGAACGACTTTTTAAATTAATTTTGAATTTAATTTTTATCAATAATTTATTATGCATTTGACAGCAAGATTTGATTTTGAGATGACCAACTTCAATTTTATGAAAACGTTACTACTAAATGTTTGCAGGTTTGACCATATTATGATTGGTTATCTTGAAGAAAAAGCTTAAGAGGTACTCATTTTTTAAGTCTCGTTTTAAATCAACATTTTGCAATTCTATAGTCGTTTCTTTGATTTTGTCAGCATTTAAAATATATCATTAAGTCGAATGCTGACGTTGGATTTTGAGCTTGGTTATTGTTTGTTATCCCCATATTTCATTATAATTGTGCTTAGGCTTTTATACTACCTTAAGGGTAAAAAACATATTATTTTGTGGTGATTTGCTCGTGATTGCCCAAACCCCCTTGTCTTTATTTTATATGTAGTTCTTTTTGAAAGCATATAAAAGTATTATTGTGAAATATGGGTTTTTAACTTATTTTTCGTTCTCATATTTCTTTCATTTTCTTTTCAATATATGTTGATTTATAGGTACAAATTATCAGAAAGTGTAATATTTTATAAGAAGTAACCATAAAAGGTATTTGTTATACAACCAAAACATTGCAACACAACTCCTATTTCTAATCAAAGCATTCATGTATTTTTATCATTGCATTGTCATATGACTATGAAAATCGCCTGTGTGGCGCAGTGGTAAGAGCGTCTGCACTAGAGTCGTGGAGTAAGGAGATGATCCTTACGTCGCGGGTTCGAATCCCACCGCAGGACATGAAGACCGGTCCTTAGGATGAAAAAGATCACTCACTGCTCAATGGCCCTGCGTGCCGAGTATAGGTCAAAATTTGTAGCCCTCCACCGGCAAGTGGTGGCGTCTCCATATGAGTGAAAAATTCTCAAGAGGGACGTTACGCAACAAACAATCAATCAATCAATCAATCATATGACATACTCACCGTCCATCCGCCTCCGTCTGTAGTCATGTCACAATAAACGGAAGTGATCTTAGAGTCGACGACAATATCATAAACGTCATCTTTTCCTTTCAGGCTGGGATTCCTTTTTAGTCTATCATAGCAATACCTTGGGAACAGTCTTGAATCAACTGGAAAAATATACACTTTATGATTTGAAATTTTTGAACACCAAACAAAATTATAAGATTGGAATGAAATAGAATGATATCATTGAGGCAGGCTATAACGCACTGTTTATTTGTTTTATAGATCTTTTCGGGGGAAATGCGTTAATATCTCTAATTATGTATGAAATTACAATACTAATTTTTAGTACGCGTACTTTTTCCTTGTTATTTTCACAGGAATGTAAAATTAATTTCAGTCTTCCATACTCGTGTAAAATGAAATGATTTTAAATATTTTTCACTTGTTTGTTACTGTATATCAGTATAATAATCTAGCATATTAAAATTTTGAAAAAAATGCTCAGCTGTGATCAATGAAATGCAATTTGACATTATTTCGTTGTGATTGTTTTTGATTGCATGTTATTTAACGCCACATACAAGTTCTTCTTATTCATATAAATCGCGTCTGCTTTATGTATAATACCATGAAGATCGCTTAGTACCGTAGGTGCGAGGATTCCAATATTACCCCCAACGCCTACTGTGACACGGGTTTTAAGGTCTCAGTTTTTTTTTCTTACGCCGGTTGCTTGGCAAACGAACAGTCAGTACTGTTTTTAATTCTTTGATTTTCCGCGGCACCGGGAACTAGAATAAAACCAAGACATCCAAGGCACTACCTATAGACTACTTCAATCCCTAAATGGTTTTCTATGTGAATGTTTTAATGTCTGAATGAGCCAAATAAACAAGTTTGAAATTCACTAAATGAGTTTGAAGAAGACATAATGAAATGTATGGAGATAACGAACGGTATTCAAGCTCAAACGTCCATTAAAAAATTTCAAATTTTGGAGCAGAGCAAACTCGGATCAGGTGCCATGGAGGAATGAGCATCCCTTGCCGTGTGCTCCTTGTCATGAGCAGGAAATAACGGAAAAATCCGTTGACAATTTAGGGTGTAAATAATGCCCTAACAATTAATATGAAAAACGTCAATCTGCAATTGACTTAATGATAAATTGTATTTGCTGACAAGGTCATTGTATCGGCTATAAAACTTACGAAATTACGACTTTAAATGAGACTGCTGATATTCTTGTGTCATCAACTTTTTTGTCAATAACCTACCTCGTTTCAGAAATTGTTCATACGTAAAGCATGTTCTTGCCTATTGAATCAACTGAGAGATATAAACCACGTATGCGGGTGATGAATGTATATTGACGTCTTTTTTTAGTAAAATATTTAATTATGAAACAGATGTGTCAGACTCTTTGGTATCTTTTATTTTAAGCTCTCCGGGATATATCGTATCGACATAAGAATGGAAATAGCCATTGTTAATTGACAATACGTCGTCTATATATTGAGAGGTCGAGTTGAAGGCCACAGCAAGTATTTTCTTCTTTTCACGTATAAGATTGTGAACAAATTCTGCTTCATATGAATACAAAAATAGATCTGCTAATAACGAGTCGCAAATGGTACCCATGGGAATTCCAATAGATTGTTGGAAGACCTGGTCTCCCAAAACCACATAGATATTTTCAATTAGAAACTCAAGTATCTTTTTAATATCAACTTCAGAGTACTTGTGTGTACACAATCAGAATGTTTTTTAAACAAATTAATTTTGCAGTGTGATCAATCACAAGGTAAAAAAAAATCTTCAAACAATATAAATCTGTGAAAGAGCATAACACACGGACCCCCTCCCCGAAATTCTTAAGGTGGGATCAGGTGCCTAGAAGGACCAAAATTCTCCTATAAACCGTGGAATTGACTAAGATTTTGATAAAGAGGAAAATATCCACAGCTATTTTATGAAATATATGGAGATAACGAACAGTATTCAAGCTCAAAAGTTTGATTTGATTTGATTACAAATAAAATAAGATTACAATAACTTTTGACTTACCTCTCGATATTTTATCCGATAATTGTAATATTGATTGATTAACATTCTCACGAATATTGTTCATGGTTTTATTGATGGAGACTGAAATTCTTTTGAATATGTCCTCCAACATATTGTACTGAGTTTTATTCATTCGATTTAGTTGATCAGCTAACGATTTCTTTTCTTCAGAAAAGGTGTTGTTTTTGTTTCTGAGCTCTTGTAGCTCATTTCTTAGCAATCTGTCATTTTGTGAATTTTCTGCTACTGCTGTCTTCGTTTCTTGAATTTCTTCTTTTAATCCAGTCTGGCTGTTGTTCACAAAAGTTATTATTTTATGATTAATCTCAAGTCTGGATTTCGTGTCCATGTTTTCGTTTGTTAATGCCTGATTTTTCTTTTGCAGATCCAGGGTTTGGCGTTTTAAGAAACTTATTTCTGATTCTTTTAAATTTTGAATCATTTTTTCAGTGCGATTTTTGTTTTCACCCAGTGTCTCATTCAATATCTTTAATTCCTCTTGTAATTTCAAATTTTCTTTTCTTATTCTTTGGTGCCGATCTTCTGATTCCTGCAATTCTTTTATTACATCGTTAAGTCTTTTATTCATGTTTTGAGTGCTGTTTTTGTTGTCAATGACATCCATAACCAGATTCTGAATTTTCTGTACCATGGAGAATCGAACTAAGCTTTCTTGATTCAGAATATCCCATAAAACATTGGAAATTCTTCCAGACGTAGTATCAGGTAACAACTTGTCCATCAAAGATTTGTCCGTAAAAGACTGGGCACCAAGTATCTCATTTGAAGAGAAAAAATACACAGCTACACATAGTAAACACTGCATTATTTAAAGGATATGTCAGAATAGTATAGATTGTAAATGATACGATGAGTTTAAAATGACCCTTTATATATAACAGCAAATTATATGCAAAAATGAAAATCTTGAAGAGGAAAACAACTGTTTCTAGTTTAATTATGACGCAAAGAGCCTCTTTGCGATCTATTGAAATCGGTGAACACAAACAAAGAACAAAGAATTCGGGGACAAAAAAGTAAACCTTGAGTAATTTCTGGTGTTGACTTGGTAAAATGTGAAAAAATTATATTACGTGTGCTCATATTCTTTGCGAGGTAAAATGTTTGCGAAAGTTACTTTTAAGCAATTTCAATTCAAAATCAATTTGATTGATTGGTTGTATGTTTTTTATGTCTCGTTCGAGAATTTTTCACTCATACAGAGACGTCACTATATACCGGTGAAGGGCTTCGAATTTAGACCTTTACTAAGCACTCGGGGCCATTGAGCCGTGAAGAATCTTTATCTTGGTAACGCTTGCCTGCCACGTGGCCTTGGTTTTTAATGACTCACCCATAACTTTAACTTCAGAGTGAGTTCCTTGCGTTTGGCGAAGGAGCAGTTGCTACCTATTTTTATCGATTTAGGCCAGTTTTGCGGCTTAGGTTTTAACCCACGACATTCCGATCAGGGAGGGAGTGCTCTACCGATGAGCGACCGTGAAGGTCAACATCAATTTTAAGAAATGCAGAGAGACGACTCTAAATAGTCTTTTTCATCTACAACTTAAAATCAATTGAATGAAAAAAAAACTTTACCATTCCAAAATGACAGGCTTTCACAGATATATTGAACACACGTTGTCACATGACTGGTAAAGTCTCTATTATTGAATCCATTAATATATAATTTTTACATCAGCAAGAATATCGAATTAAGCAAGTAATATGGATATCTTTTATGATAATAATTTTAGACAAAATAATATTTAATAGAAATAAAAAAAATTACCGCAATCAATTTAAAACGTATATACATGTACATTCATTGTTTATAAATAAAGAAAAGATATGCATATAACAGGGAAAATCATGGTTTAGGAATCATAATTTTATTTTAAAAAAAACAGCAAAACGTCAATTCTTTCCTTAAGAATATGTATATGTCTAGTTTAGCTAACCGTCTGATCGACTTAACCACAAGGCAAATTTATTTCACAGATTTAAAACGGAAACCTTAAACCATAATAGGAAACCTATCAAATATATCACCAGAAATCAAGACAATTATCGCCTAGAATGACAATTTGCTAACAAGGATAAGTAAATGTTGATTAATTTCATGATTTAGTTTTGTTCACTTTCGAATGACAAATTTCTTTACAAATGATGCTTGGATACACTTTTTTCGTTACGATATGGAGATAAAAATAAAATAGAAATCTCAAAATAATCCATTTTACATTTTAAATCACAAATTGAATCACGTACATTCGGACTGGCTTAATTAAAAAGACGGTTTATAGGTGCTCGAAGAATGATTATAGATCGTCTTTGTCGCCTAACGGGTTATTCATGTTAGATTAAAGATGGATTTTAGGTGCTTAAAGGTGAATTTTTGGAAGTCTTTTGTCACCTTTAAGCCACCTTTAAGCAAGACTTATAACTGCTTAATGACCAAACTCTTTTAAGCTGCCTCTAATCTTTACAGGCCGACATTATTTATCGGATGGTAAATTTTAGGTGAGGATTTTGACTTTTAAAGATATGAATGCCTCGAGTTTTAGTAGTCTACCTTCTGTCGTGTTCTCTACCAATACCTTTACTCAGGAAGTTATAAATTATACAGTAAACATTCATACAGTATTTGAACTTTAACTTTGTTGAATTGATTAATTTTGATTAAAAAGAGGAACATATTGGAAATGAATTTATTCTATTTTTTTGAAATTCAATTTAAGATAATGATTTGTGTTTGTATTAGTTTCATCTTTTTTATGAAGAAGATGGAAGATTTCGCCATGAAATTTAATTAAAATAATTTGACATGACTAGGAGACTTCATTCATTGGACAATTATATATTACAACTTTATTCAGAATATATCTTTGGGCAATACAACCCATCAGTTTACAAAAATAGCATATAATACTAAAATATATTACAAAATTTAAGACTCACAACAAGCCTAAATTTGGGGGGGGTGGGGGGTGGGGTGAAACCCCTGGTCAAGTGTTCCCTCAGTCCCACAATTCCACTCATTTATAGTATACAATATTATAATATATTGAATAAAGTAGTACAATACATAATTCAAAGTTATAATACAATATATAGCAATGCTGTTTTCATGTACAGACATCTGACGGATTCCATGTGTACAGTGAAGCATAAAACGCAGTTGCTTGAATCATGTAGGTTAATATGAAGAAGAATCAAAACAAATTCTTCTTAAATTCTTCATCTGTTAACAATTTGTAATTTACGTAAGCTTCATTTTTTCTTCACTACATATAGAATTCGGTTAACATACAATCAGCTCTAATCATTGTTGTCATTGTCGATAATGAGAATCGGAGTCCTTGGAACAGAATTCCAATTTCTCAAAATAAGAATATCTGCCAGTTCCTAAGATATGAATCTAGGTTGGAGATTTTTTCAGACTAGTTTCACAATAAACATTATATTTTCTGAACTATTGAACAAAAAAAATTTGATTATAGATTCCTTAAATTGAATTTTATTTAAGGAACATAAACTTGTAATGGCATTATTTTATATTTACAAAGAAATTAATAGATTTCCTTGAAATGAATTATGGAGATAACAAAATCTTTCTGCATTCTTGTTATTGGAAATTTCTTAAAGACAGAAATATATTTATTGACGTCATAGTTTATATGTAAACAATCTTCTGCAAACCAAGTTGTCTGTATGACATATTTTAATATATATCTATAGAAAGCACAAAGAAATTCACCTTTTTAATAGAATACCCACTTCCGCCGAAACCCGGGGTTGAACTCTCGACCTCGACCTACGGAATCTGTCTCCCAGCAGTACAGGAACAGCGTGCTAGACCACTCGGCCATCTAGGAAAGTCATAAAACTTGCTTTCGATGCCGATGGAATTCTTGCGGTACTGTCCTACACTACATGTTGAGAATGAAAGTGAGATACAGTTATTTGGACATTAATTTTATTAGAGGATCGATACCGATACATATTGTAATGAATTAAGTTTATTTAAATATATATATATAATACGTTTTCTACAAGTGTACAGTTACTTTTATTATCGTTAAAATTAAACGTAATACAAATTTCCCTCCTTAACATAGCTAGATCATGATATGGGTATTGGAAATTCCAGCTGTAAAATTCGATAGATCAACATTAGAAAAAAAAAATAATAATGTGTAAGGAGCAAAGGAATTGAAAACAGTATCTCTAGCATGAAATTTAAATTTGTCTTTTTAGCAGACACTTTTATTTTGCTTTTATTCAATGCATTTTCCTGTGAATATTTTGTACGTATTCAATATTCTTCAACACAAATCAATACTAATTTTCTTAAGTTTTCAAGAATATAACAATACTATTTTCTTCATTTTTCATCAATATATAAATAGAAATTCTTAACGAATCCTGTTTTAATTTTATTATCATTCATCTGATTGATTAATATCCTGAATGATAAGTATAGATATTATGATAAAAGGAATTCAGCCACGAATCAAAATCAAAGCGCTTTTGTTATGACTGACCTATTTTTAAAGGGCAACAACAGCTCGATTTATATTTATACAAACCATTTGGAAAACCCATCATGTCTTAATTTTTGATACGGGTCAATGATCTCCGGATAAACAGACGTATAACAGCAAACAAGGTACTTTCTTGATTTATTTTACTGTTAAATATGTAAAATCTTTGTTTTTATTAATGTCTGGAAGTATTACCTGTATCGTAGAATAAGTCTTTTAGTACATACTTATAAGAACATGACTAAACTGTTATAAATTATTTGAAAAGAAGGGAGATTAGGCATCTAACGACTAAAGACCAACTCCTTTAGCAAGATTTACAGATATACATAAATAAATATTACAGTGGAATGGATGCTAAATTGGAAGACAAAAAAGAGACTTCTGTCAAACATAAGTCTGCAAGTGAAACTGAGAAGATAAATCAAACAACAAAAAGAAAGTACACTGAAAACGAAGATGGCAAAACTAGCGAGGGCAATGATGACAAACCAGGTAATATAACCAATAGGCATAGAAATGACATAAAGGTAAACGACAGACAGAAGATGGATAATTCAACAAAACGAAGGAAAAAGAAAAATACAGAACCACGGCACGATTCTGAGGAAGAATTAGTGGAAGGCAATAAGGAATTCCTTATTGGTAAGTAACGGGTGATTCGAATTATAGATTGAAAGGTTTGAGCTTCCATATGGAAGAATAACATACTTCCACTGAAATCAGATTCATGTGCTTATAAATAGCTAATTTTTTTTTACTTCTTTTCCTCTTTATTCTTTAGTTGCTGGTCCCGGCAAAGATCGCACTTACCAATGTCCGACCATTCAAACACACCCGAAAATTAAAAATCCACCACCCGCTCCACCTCCTCCACAAAGTGATACGAGACTCTTTGATCTAGAAGCCACCTGCCCCGATAACCAGTACCAGTTCTTAGCATAGAAAAAAAAACTCTTGGATTTAATAAAAGGGAGATACATGTATCTCTGATAAGTTAACAGTAGCTAGATAAAATGCCATGATTAATAAAGAAATCTGAGTGTAGTTAAATTATAGAAAAGTAATATTATTAAAATCATTGTTTATTGAATTATGAGTATGATCATTGTTAGTTTCTTCAACTTTTTCATTAGTATCACTACCCGTAGTCTCATGGTATCTTACGAATCACATTTAAAATTAAGAGTTTTTTTTCTGTGATAAAAACATTTTTTTTATATCGGACAAATGTAATAGGTTAAAACGACAATTTTAAAGAGCTATTCTCTGTAACCACTTAAACTTCTTTGCCAAGCATGGTAACCGATTTTGATGAAACTATGCCTATTATTACACCTTGACACCAGAAATATATATCAATTAAAATTTGGTTGCTATATGTCTTGGTTACCATGGTAACAGCCAAAACAAAAGTTGAAAATTGAGATTTTCAGCTTCTTTGAATCTTTATTAAGCTTTAATAAAGACTAGGAAAAACAAACAAACCATTCTCACAAAAGATGAATCTCTGTTATGTTATAAAGAAACTATTTAGAATACTGTATATCTCTAATTAAGTGGTAACCATGGGTACTAACCCTGAAAAACACTCAAATTTCACAAATGATAGGTGTTACATGATCAAACTCAATCAACAACTTAAGAAAAACTATAAAAAATATTTTACCTTAAGTAATTATGTATTAGCAATATTATTCTAAAAATAACTTTCATGGTTGCCATGATAACACAGTGTACCATGCAAAATGTTGCCTAGATTGAGCTAATGCTATTATCTTGAGGAGAAACATGAAAACTCAAGACTGGCGGATATACATCCTTAGGACCTTGCAACACCGACAACATAAGAAAAACTGGAATTAATTGCAACTTTGCAGTGGAACTATGGCAAAGACGTACCAGTAGTTTAAAGTGACTTTTTTTTGTGCTGCATTAGTAATTTACTTACCTTTTAATTCAAGAAATATATTATCTGACTCACCTTGAATAGTTCTGATCTGGTAGAACAAAAGTTTTTTGTTTGTATGTTGTTTAACGTCCCTCTCGAGAATAGAACAAAAGTAGAATAACATATATTGATATATATATAATACTGATATATTGATGAAGAAAACAACACTGTTGTTATGGTTACCAAGAAGGGAATATGTTCGATTTTGTTATCTTTATATCATTGTAAAACCCTATAGTGCCAGCTTCTTGCATCCAGTTAGAGATTGGGTGGTAGTCAAAATTGAAAGTCAGGTTAGTTGTTCATAAATATAAATCAAAAAAAAATTTTGGGATTCTAAATACAAGTGTACGTATTCAAGGAAACAATTTTTTTTTTCAGATTTTTATGCATATTTTTCTGGATAATTCCATACCAACTTCTATTTAAAGAATTTAATTTGAATTTGTTTGAAATGTGAAAATTAGGACCACACCAATACCTTTAAAAATTGATCGCTAGTTATATTACATAGAAATGTGCTCTTAAAAAGGTAGGATCAGATTAAAACATACATAGAGTAAATTTGAAGTCACTTTGTGGTATTAAAACCATGGTTACCATTGTCAACCAATACGAAATTACATATTTCGTCCTTGGTATATGTTACTAGGATCTTTCTTCTATTGTTTGGTTACATTTCAACCTATAATTGTTTTTTTTTTTTTTTTTATTTTTAAGTATATGACTTTATAACATTGAATGAATAAAATTATTACTTTTGAATACTTTGTTTCCATAGTAACGTCATGTTTATCGTGCATTTATATAGATGATTGAACATACGTACCTTGCAAGAATGTTTATGAATTTATTGTGAAGAAAACCGCAGCTCAGGTTGTCAGAGCGCGCACGGCAATTACATACCCCAGAACCGGTTTTTATGATAATACCATAACTTGTCGATTTTCGAAGAACCCATGTCACGTGACTCCATGTATTCAGCGTGTGTTCAGTATTTTATAACTCTAATCAAAACTAACTTTTACCAAGTTTCGAATTCCACATTTAATAATTGCAATATGTTTTGCAATTTTAAAATGTGTTCAAAGTCAATGAGCTTAACCAAATTCAACATCGTTATCTTTGACCAACACTAACCACGTACTACATGAAATATCACCTGCATACGGGGTATATATCTCTCAGTTGATTCGATACGCAAGAGCATGCTCTACGTATGTACATTTTCTAAAACGAGGTAAATTATTGACAAATAAGTTGATGAAACAAGAATATCAGCTGTCTCGTCTAAAGTCATCATTTCGTAAGTTCTATGGTCGATACAATGACCTTGTCAGCAAATACAATTTATCATTGAGTCAAATGCTGACTGACGTTTTCATACTAATTGTTAGGCCATTATTTACACACTGAATTGTCGACGGATTTTTCCGTTATTTCCCGATCATGACAAGGAGCACACGGCGGGTGTGACCGGTCGGTAGGGGATGCTCACTCCTCCATGGCACCTGATCCCACCTCTGATGTTTGGAGGTCCGTGTTTACTCTGCTCCTATTTTGTATTGTATAATGGATTTTTGAGCTTGAATACTGTTCGTTATCTCCATATATTTCATATTTGATCAATTGGTACTGAATTGCTTTATTGATCAAGTGTCTGGTCCGAATACAATATTTGTAAACAAAAATTACATAGTTTGTTGACAATCTTTAAGCAATGAATACGATGTAATATAAAATCTGACCTTGCACTGAACAGAAATATCAACATTTAAAATTAAAGATGTATGATCGATTTCTTTTATCTCAGAAAATGAAGATTTACCCCCATCATTCATTTACAGTGTAAACGTTTCTAACTTTGCCAAAATTACACACTCTAGTTCGCATCTGTTCCAGAGAAAAAAGAAATTGGAAGATTAAAAAATACGACAATAAATACAACGACTGCTGATAATGCACCTGCGCACTAACCAGTTTTGCTTTAGTCGTAAGCATGAGATTTCACGAGTGCATATTATCTGGTGTGAAAAGCTGGTTATTTTGACGAAATCGAGACACAAGAAAAGAAGAATCTGTATACCTTATAGCGGCCAAACAATCTACCTTATTGAATAAACAATTTTTTTAACAAGGTATGAGGTAAAAAGGTGGATAAACTATGAAATGGTACCCGTAAACAAACGCACGTGTTTTACCTAAAGGTCATGCGATCATTGTCGAACAATCTTTGAACATTCATGAGTTTTTGTTTGTAAATCAAAGAATTTTTTCTTTAATTACAACTTAAACACAAAACATAGGAAAAGTGGAAAGGATGTTTTTTTTTTTTTTTTTTTTTTTTTTTTTTTTTTCATTTGAACATATGATAAACTAATTTCCATAGGGGTGAATTCCAAATAAAAATTACCAAACACATTTATCAACTTGCACTAAAAATTCAGGTAATGGGAATAAATGTCTATGTTTCAGCATATGTATTTTGATAGTGTCTAAATACCTGCCAAATATCTCATTGATATCACAATTCCCAAAACAGCTATGCCCAAAAATGATGCTGAAATGTCCGAAGTGGAAATTCAATATTTTTTGAAGATCTGTGAAATAAATAATACTGGTTTATGTTGGAAATAAAGACTTTCCTGATGATATTCAAAGTATTATCTTCTTTAATTAACAATGATCTATTTGATCTATTATACGCAAGAGCATGCTCTACGTCTGAACAATTTCTAAAACGAAGCAAGTTATTGACAAACAAATTGATCTGTTTGAATAATTTAGTACTAAATTATTGACAGTTTAATTATTAAAATCCTTTTCTTTTTCAATTTTATCATTTCAGATGTGTTTCTATCTTTTCTTTGATTTTTTTTATGGATATGAAAAAAAATAAACACACTGAAAAATTGTTATAAATTTCAAATAATTCCACCTCAACTTCACTGAAACAACAGAACAAGTTCTGATGTAATTTTCGCTTCACAATTCTACTTTAAAAACTCTCATGCTCTTGGTCAGGAATGCAACAAATGTGTTGGAATTATTGCTGATCAAATATGAATAAATATAAAGACAAAATTGATGAATAGAATGTTTCTGGTTGACCTCAGATGCTTAGTGTTTGAAGGAAAATATACTATAAAATATATTTCATCATCAAAATATATATTTTAGCTAAATTTTTGACATGAATATGGAATAATTCAAGATATAAAGACAAGTTTAAATATTTTCATGTGTTTTAATAATGAAGTATTGGACTATAAATATTGTACAATTTCGTTACCATTTGATGTTACCAACACCTCTATGGTTTTAATTTTTAATTCTACTGCAGTCAGGAGAATAATAAAATTAGTTTATAATTATCAATGATATTCATCTATCTTTACTAAAAAATAAATTTAAAAAATGTTTAATACTATTTGATTTTCAATACATTATGTCTATCAACGAATTTCAGACTTTTTAAAGTCATATCAGAGAATAGCTTTCATCACTTAACACATATTTTAAAATACAATATATATATATATATATATATATATATATATATATATATATATATATATATATATATATATATATATATATATATATATATATTTATATATATATATATATATATATATATATATATATATATATATATATATATATATATATATATATATATATATATATATAAAAGTGATTTTGAGGGAATTTTATTGTTTCATATTTCTTTTATATTAAAACTTTTCAAACCAGAATTTAAAAAATAATGTAAGATAAAAATCAAAAATCCCAATTTGGTGGTCATTATTTTTTAATTCACCCATAGGCAAAAAATACATTACACTCGCAGACCATACAGCTTTTATGTATATTGTGAAATTACTACAAAAAAGAAAATAATAAAAAAAAATCTATATTAGATTTCAGAAGTCGATCTTCCTTCAGAATATGCTTGATCGACTGGATTGTCACATGGATTAAGTTTTCGCAGTAGTATTTCTAACTCATAGTTAACGTTTTTAATACTTGATTCAGTACATCTGTGTTATCCAAGAA